ATGGCTTAATCGATTTCTTTTTTCATCCTGATCATTTATGTATACATTTGTCTATATCTATCTCGATTCGTTTTGGCTGTTACAAACAACCGTTATGTGAACAAAATTAATATACCCTTGTGCACAAGTGCGCTCGGGTATAAAAAGTGAGCTTGGGCTCAGGTTCAGGTTTTGTACTGATGATGTGAGCTTAAACTCGACTATTTATGCATAAAACTTTTTACGCATAACGCCCAGTATATTCTTTTAAAACGTACATTTTTATTTCGCAGAATAACAAAAACTCAACAAAACATAAGTCAATTAACTCAATTAATTACAAAAAAATGAGACACTTGCGAAAAGTAAATGAATGATGCAAAAATCAAATAGTGGTAAATATACCATAATTGTCGTAAAATAACAATACTGAATAACATTAATATCACTGTAAGCCCCAAAACTTACTATTAACAGTTTGTAAAAAAAGCAGTTTGTCCAGTTTTTCTCCCCATTAGCAACTTCTTTTACAGGTAACCATATTTCCCGTGGTGGAAAAAACACGTTCTGACGGCACGGAAGTTGCCATCACTGTTAAGTATTTCATTGCTATTTCCAACAAAGAAGAGTTTTTGTGGTATCCTTCTGGCCACACATCCAGGGGACAATCCGTTAGCTTAACGACTGGGCTCTTCAAATAAATTGATAATTCCGGTGGCATCGTATTTAATGTGCCTAGTTCATCTTCAGTCCTTATCCGTTTTTTTGATTTCCAACTTTCCGGTACAAGCCTATGGTGGTCGTCCCATAGACTAAAGCCATCACCTGAAAACAAAATATACGTCAACGTTTAGTTAAAATACGCATTTTGCTCGTTATTTCAAAAGTGGCATTCAAATTACTGGCAAAGTTTTTATGTCCGCATTAGGCGTTTGTTCATCAGGTTCCTTAGTCAGAAATACCTACCACTTTCATCATCTTGGTTGACTTGTTCAGCATTGGATTCTGATGACGTTTCTTCTTCTTCCTCCTTCATTTCAGATGTCAACTTCCGGATTGCCGTAGCCATCGCAAACTGCCAGTAATGCTCGATGTTTTTGAACAGCTTGTTCCATTCTATCATGATGTTTCCCTTCAATTTAGTTCCCAAATTCGTATTGGTTGTAGCTCCCATGACCTTTTTTCGCAACAAGCGAACCACTGGTATAACGATGCTAGATGTAACAAACTTGTCACCACAAACTTCTTTTGTTGCAAATTCAATTGGTTTGAATATAACTACAAAATCCTTCAAAACTTCCATGTCGAGAGCTGACACCATTTGTGGTGCACTGGTGTTGAACGTGATTATATTATTAACTATTTCTCGGAGAAATAAGAGCCTTTCTACCATGTAATATGTGCTATTCCAACGCGATGAAACTGACTGCATAAAAGTATTTTTTTCTAATAGCTTAGTTTTTTTTCTTAGTTCGTCACTTCCCACAACGCTATGTCTAAACCAAGTCACAATGGACTTTACCTGATCCAAAACAATTTTTAGCTCAGGAAGAGAGTCAATGGACTTTTGAGCTAGCAGATTCAATAAATGCGCGCAGCAATAGCAGCGCTTTCTTTTTTCGAACGCTAATTCTACTGCTTTGATCATATTGCTTCCTCCATCGGTTACAACTGCTACGACCTTATCTTTACTTATGTTCCACTCAGTACAAACGTTTGATAACACCTCAGAAAGATTTTCCCCAGTGTGACTTACTGTCAGTTCTTTCACGCCAAGTACAATACTTTCCAATTTAAACGTTTTTTCATTTCCACAAGATGAAATAAAATGCGCAGTAACTCCAAGAAATGCTTTCGTTTGGTGTGTTTCGGTCCACACATCAGTGGTTAAACATATGAAGGGTACCGTCGACAATTCCTTCTTGACCAAATTCGAAATGAAATCGTACTTTTTCTCCAGGAGAGAATCGAACGTTCTCCTTGAAGGTATTTTATACAATGGCGATAGATACTATTTTTAATAAATGACAAAGCCCTTCGTCTTCCACGATAGAAATGGGCTGATTGTCCCGGCATATCATGAACAAGATAGCCGCTGTTATTTTGTTACTTTTATCACCGCCGTCCTTGAAAGAGTTTATATTTGCGAAACACGTTTGCAAATTCTGCTGACCTCCTGGTGATAGCGCAGATACTTGGTGTGATGAGCTGGTACTTGGGCAAGGTTCTGAAGATGCGGGAACGAGACTTGCATTTTTATTCACTTCGGTGCCGTCGGTCTTATTAAGCACTTTTTCGGAAGATGTTAGTTGGGTTACAAAAATATCATTGTGCATAGCTTTAATGTGACCTATGAGATTTCTTGTATTGCCACATGTTTTTAGATGTTTGTTACAAACAACACACAGCCAATTCATTCGGTTTTTTATTGTGTTTTTCGAAAAACTTCCACACGCTACTTTTAGGCGCCATTCAAATATTATGAATCAAAACTGGAAAAAAAGAATTTAGCGACAATAAAAACAGTAAAAACTTCTGCAATATGCCTTGAGATCACGATGTAGAGATCAAAGGTGGCGCCCATCTAGGGATGCCAGCGACTAATCATTTGATTAAATTAATCGATTGTTTTTGTCCAAAACTAAGTATGGCAACTTTAAAGGCCCTACACACGCATTGATTTATCGGCGAACCAGTTGGTAAATTGCTGGAAGTTGGTTGTAAATAAGCCGAACATCGAAGAAAATCATCGAAGCAAAAAATCGATGTCGATAAAACATCGGGTAGCAAACATCGATGTTCAAAACACTCGATGTTGTCACAAAACATCGATGTTTTACAAGCATCGATGTCGATGTCGCAGCCCTAGATTGATGACGCGTTATTGTTGAATAAATTAGGTACACTGAGCAGAATGAATGAATATTCATTCAAAAATTTTATAA